TTGCCTATAATCTCCATCCCTGGCTCTCAATTCCTCTGTCCAGAGTCACTTCCAGATATGTGACTGAGCATGGGACTTTCTCCCTTGATGCAGTTCTTGGGCTTAGTTGGTAATCACCAGGGCCAAACACTGTCATGTGAAGAAGAGGGTGACGTCTTCATCCCAGGGTTTGACTACTAGAAGAATGGAGCAATGAAAAATAGTTTGTATTCTATGTCAGCAGATAGTGAAACTAGGGACACGGTAACAGCCCTGGACTTTCATCTATAAAAACAAGTCAGCAGTGGCCGAAATGTATTTCTCTGGAAACGGGTTCATTTATATCTTTTTAAGCATGTGCTTTATTGTCTCCTCTAACCATTCACATTGGCCCTGTGGAGATTACAGTCTACTACCCCAGAGTAGGGTTAATTCTAGCAGAAGCCAGTTAACATACAATTACCGTATTTTGCGGTCTATAAGACGCTCCGGACTATAGGACGCAGGGCTTCTGTGACAGAAATTCTATGACAGAAATTCTGTCACAGAAGCTGCAGTTAGTGACCACAGAGACAGGTGGCGCTGTCTCAGTAATCACACAGAGCAGACGAAGAACGACGTTCTTCGTCTGCTCAAGGGGCTCTATGGTGAGCTCCTATGGGGGACCAGAGGAGCGAGGGACCCCAAAAACCACGGCAGGGGGCGGACACGATTGCCGCCGCTCGATTTAATAAGAGGGATCTAATTAGATCCCTTTGTATTAAACGAGCAGCGGCTCCCACTGTACATTCAGCTCTGCTTGTCAGGAGCAGGGCTGAATGTACAAAAAGAAACTACTCGCCCGGCGCCCGAAACTGCATGTCCTGGACGTCGGGCGATAGGTATTCGCTCCATAAGACGCAGGCAAATTTTCCCCCTTGTTTTGGGGGGGTGGGGGTGGAATACGGTATATTGGGTACTGTAGGCAATGCATGCAAGCCTGGAGGGAACTCCTTGAAGACAATGTCCCTTCTCGGAATCATAAGTACAGTGCCGGAGCTGGTGTAAGAGCCAAATGATAAACGTCTGTGTCTTATTTCAGCAGGAGATTCTTGAGATATGCTGCAGGTAGCCTCATGTACCCGATTTTGGTGAATGTTTCCTTATCTCCATCCCGAATGCTTTTTATAGGTAAGAACACGGTCGGTCGGAGAGTGCGTGGCTTTTTATTATATGTGGAAGAAGTCTGAGCGATACGACTTCTTCGCCCAGCAAACACGATTTGGGAAAAAGAAGTACAACCTGCATCCTGGAGTCACGTGAGTATTTTTGATAAAAACAAGAGAATGAGTTTGAGACATGAAGAGCTTTGATAGGATGAAGCATGCAATTTTACTGTTTAAAGGAAGCCTCATAACAGCATTCTGAACAGATGACAAAAAACAAGGCACCGTTGAAAACAAAAACTACATTTGATATCACTATTAAACGTTTTGAAGTAGATGTTAAGCTTGCTTGCAGGGTCCTCTACTGTGAAAGTTGTGTCCCAAATGGCAAGCAGAAGACAAGGCTAGTCACCATTATTATCTTTATACTTCCTGCAGGTTAACTTTCCCCATTACTGACTTACCATGCCTTGTTCTTCACTGTGTCTCTGTATGTAGGCGGCCATCTTGGTAGAGGAACTGCTTTGCTTCCTCATATCAGAGCTGCCCCCTTGATAGTGAGGGATACTTGTGAAGCACCAGGAGAGGAGTAGTATGCTCAGATCCACAGAATGAATGAAGCAGGTAGATGCATGCATGGAAGATTGCTTCCCAGCAAGCAGCACCTTAGAGACCTCACCAAATCTTAATGCGTATCCCATGGGACTAGGGGTCAGTGCCAGCAGTGCTTTAGATCTCACAGCTATGAAGCTCAAGGCACTGGCATTCCTAGACACACTCACACAGGAAGTGCTCCGCTGTTTGTTCAGGAGGAATTCTAAACTAAAGGTTAAAGGAGAACTAAGGGGGTAAGGCTTTTGCCCATAGTTCTCCTTAGGGTAACGGGAGAACACAAACTAGCATCCTCCCGTCGCCCTACGCTCAGTATACCGCGAGCTGCTGCTCGCGGTATACTGAGACGCTGAAGCGGATCCCGACAATTATGCCGGGATCCGCCCAGCTACGTGACTGACAGCTGGCTCTGCCTATCTAGAGGCAGAGCCAGCTGTACCCGCCCCCTCCCCCGTCCTTCCTGCCAGTCAGCGCTGGCGGATCGGAGGGGGGAATCCAGCCCCTCCCCTGTCATGGCAGAGAGCCGTGACAGGATTGAGAGGTGAGCGAACGCCGGTATGTGTTCGCTCACCTCCCGATCTACTGAGCCGACCTGTGACATTGTCGGCTAGAACTATGAGGTGAGTGAAAAGCACTCACCCCATAGTTCTCCTTTAACTTTTCAGTGTGCTGCTTAGGCGCAGTTTCAATTTCTAGATGCTCCCTATAACATGGCGGATCTTCAGTTTTTGAGTTCAGGTCCACGTTAACATACAACAATGAGGTGGTTTTCTCCTGGAGATCCGAATTATTAAATTATAACCCTTTAGACGTCTGTCTACCAGATCCGTAACCAAAACTGAGGCACAAAACATTTGAAGGACTGCCTGTATAGATTAGCAAGTCCAAGAGGTTACTCATAGATCGGGACAGACCAAAAATCATATAGTAAAAAACATTTTATTATTATGCATGTAAAAAATATATGGACATCAATTCACCGACAGAAAGAATAAAAAAATTTAACGATGTCTGCAGACCTCAAACACGTTAACATACATCTGATTAAAGCTAGGCTGACCAGGAGAACGTTGCCGGCTTCCTCGGCGTCTGCGTGTAAGGCTGCGCAGTTTGTACATTTGACCAGCTGTCTCAATTGGTTCTGTTGTAAATTCTACGAGCCATGGCAGGTATAAAGCAAAACTTGAGGTGCCTTTATTTTCTAGGGATTATATGGATCGGCTTCTGGATGAAAGTGAGAGTGCTGCTTCCAGCCAGGCCCCGTCGCCCCCTCCCACTACCTCCAACAGCAGCACTAGCCAGTCTGAGAAGGAAGATGGCGCTGCCAGCAACACTAACCAGAATGGTAAGGAAGACTTAGCGTGGACCTGCCAGACATATAGATTTTCATTTTAAATGCATGCTAAGTAACCTATGAGTGTGACACATTAGGGTATTTATTATTTTTTATAAAGATCACAGTATCATTAAAGCTGAACTCCAGAATAAGCAAATATTGTCCTCATGCAAGAGTCATGTGTATTCTTCCTTGAATCTCGGTGAGCTTTGTGTATTCCTTCTAGATCCAATGTGAAATTTGGCGCTTTCTGTAATAAAAACTGCTCACTGCTGCTCTCTCTCCTTGTGCAGGGTGACTGGTCTTGTCTCCGCCCCCTTCTGTAATAAAATCCGGTCACCGCTGCTCTCTCTCCTTGTCTCCTGGATCTAGAGGGGAGACAATAAATCATACTTGAGAGTTTTAATACTACGTCAACCACTTGAGAACCACCGTCCGTCTCTCTCTCCCCCTCCCTCCCTCCCTCCCTCTCTCTCCCCCTCCCTCCCTCTCTCTCCCCCTCCCCCTCTC